TTGTTCTTCAGTCTATTCTGTCTCTCATAGGCTATATATATCTTATGAATTATAGCCATCACTGGGACAGGTGAAATATCTTGTTTAATATTGTAATTGTTAACTGCAGATTAAGACAAAGCTATGGTTAGTGATATTGTATGTGACTGTTGATGATAATATTTATCCTGCTTTCTATCCTTCTTGCAGGTGGATGAGTTGCAAAACACAATTGAGGAAGAGCAGAAGAGCCTAGTTGAGGAGATGAGAATGGCAACCGAGGAGCTTAAGAATGGGCTGGAGGACACAAGTGGGGCGGAAGCAATGGCAATTGACCAGTAACTAAATCGAACTTCAATCTTCCTGTTGTAACATTTCTTACATTTCAGCCTTGATTTTTGTACCCACAGTCATTAGGAACCATATGTAAATGAAAATGAAACATCAATATTATTTTGCTTATGCTTAGACCTTAGTAATACTAAATGCATTTTTTATATTAGAAAGAAAAAGTAATACTCAGTGCATTTTGTTTGGATTTTTCTATCAAAATTTGTGTAGCCATTCCTTCGCTGTAGTTGGGATTTTTTCCATTCCTTCGGCAAAAGAAAGTAATGCATAATTTTGTATGGCGTACCACTCTCAAAACCATACAGACTGGGGTTTGACAATTATTAAAAAAAAAAAGGAAATAATTATGGTAGATACTGCTGATGAAGTATTGAAAATTTGTATTTTTATGTTATAAGATAAATGTTAGAAATATAATATTGAAAATTTCTATTTGTATGTAATAAACTTTTTATTACACACTTAGAAATATAATATTTAAAAATTATTTTGAGAAAATAAAGATAAAATAACATAAACAAATAGAAGATATTGTTTTTCATTTTCTTTTCAATTTGTATTTTCAAATGTTTTGCACCTTACATCACCTTCCTCCCCGACCCCAAAATATCAAACGAACCTCGTTTGATTGTATTCTAAAAGATAAAAATCAGTCTTTAGAATTAGAAATAAAACTAAAGTGTTTGGTATCAAATCTTATAAATAATTTTCTATTTAAAACATAGCAGGTTCAAGGGATGTTTACTAAACGTAGAGGAAGGGTAAACATGCAAATAAGTACTTTAAGCGAATAAGTACTTTAATTTATTCATTAAACTAGTTATTAAGCAAATAAGTACTTTAATTTGTTCATTAAACTAGTTATTTAAAAATGTAAAATGTGTTTACTCATGAAAATATTTTTGTGAAAAAATTATTTGTCATGTAACGAATAATATATTGTCTCAACTACTATTAATCAGTTAAATGAAAATTTAAATAACTTTTATGAGATTCTAAGTTCAAACTATATAATTAATATTTATAATACAAACAATAATATTTTAAATTGCCATCCTGTTAATAAATTTTAAAAATTAATATAATACCACTTTAAAAATTTTAAACAATCAATTTGGTAATTATTGTCTGATAAATGTGATAATACATTAAGTTTTACATGATAAAATTAATAAAAAAAAGTATAAGTTTTTTCTTGAATTTATTTTTATTCGAACTAATATACTTCTAATAATGAGGAGAATTTATATGTACTTTTTTATATTATATTAACTAACACTCAAATTTTCGTCTAATTCTAAAATTGAGATTTTTTTTTTAATTTCTAAAATACATATTTATGTACTTTATATTTTTAATAAAGTGACTTTTTATAACTTTTAAATAGTCATACATCCTTATTTTAAATAAAGGGTATTATTTTATATTAAATAAGTTCTATTTAATTTAAATTTTAATTCAAATTACTTTTCTTTATTCTCATAACCATTTTTTCTTTTGTAAACATTATACTTAGTGCATAAAAAAATATTTTTTAAGTAAAATGTTCTTCCGTTTTCATCCTTCATCCTCTGTATCTTTAATCTCTCCCTTCTTTCATTAAAATTCCCCTCTCCCCCTCTGTTTTCCTACTTTTACAAAGAAAACTTCGCTTAACAAGGATTTCGTGAACCTGTGAATACTAGAAATAGTTTACTATGTTCCATTGTATTTTCAACGCAGAGTTTGCTTAACTTGGCTCTGGCAATGTCAATGAAAGGATGAACAATGGAATATTCAGACCCTTCTGCTCGTCACGTGCCTTCTGCACTTCGCTCATCTCACCCCATCGACCATTTCCTCAAAACCATGACTTTGCTTCTCCCTCTACTTTATTATCCACTGCTCTGCAGCATTACATTAATTCCGACACTCCTACCTACGGCCAAAAGATCCATTCTCGCATTCTAAAATCTGGGTTTTTTCCAAACACCAATATTTCCATCAAGCTACTTATTTTATACCTGAAATGCAACTGTTTGAGATATGCACGACAGTTGTTTGATGATTTGCGGGACCGAAGTTTATCTGCTTATAATTATATGATTAGTGGCTATATCAAACAATGTAAGGTTGAAGAGTCTCTTGGTTTGGTGCGTAGGCTTTTAGTGTCTGGTGAGAAGCCTGATGGGTTTACTTTTTCTATGATTTTAAAGGCGTCTACTTCTGGGTGTAATATTGCCTTGCTTGGTGATCTAGGTAGAATAGTGCATACCCAGATCCTCAAATCTGATGTTGAGAGAGATGAAGTTCTTTGTACTGCACTGATCGACTCTTATGTGAAGAATGGGAGGATTGCTTACGCTAGGACTGTATTTGATGTGATGTCAGAGAAGAACGTGGTATGCTCTACATCCCTCATCTCTGGTTACATGAATCAAGGGTCTTTTGAAGATGCTGAACGTATATTTAAGAAAACTTTGGACAGGGATGTGGTAGTATTTAATGCGATGATAGAAGGCTACAGCAAGACATCCGAATATGCGAGGAGATCTCTTGAAGTTTACATTGATATGCAACGGTTGAACTTTAGGCCAAATGTTTCTACATTTGCTAGTGTAATTGGTGCTTGTTCCATGCTTGCAGCATTCGAAATTGGGCAACAAGTACAAAGTCAGCTCATAAAGACTCCATTTTATGCTGACATTAAACTGGGAAGTGCCCTTATAGACATGTATTCAAAGTGTGGAAGAGTCTCAGATGCTCTAAGTGTTTTTTACCACATGCGTGTGAAGAACGTGTTTTCGTGGACATCTATGATTGATGGATACGGGAAGAATGGATTCCCTGATGAAGCACTTGAGCTATTTGGAAAGATGCAAAAAGAATATGGCATTGTACCCAATTATGTGACATGCCTTAGTGCTCTCTCAGCTTGTGCACATGCGGGACTCGTGGACAAGGGCTGGGAGATCTTTCACAGGATGGAGAATGAATACCTGGTAAAGCCAGGGATGGAGCATCATGCGTGCATGGTTGATTTGTTAGGACGAGCAGGAAGGCTGAATCAGGCTTGGGAATTTGTCATGAGGAATACCCGAGAGACCGAATTCGGATGTGTGGGCTGCTCTACTTAGTTCTTGCAGACTCCACGGTAATATAGAGATGGCAAAATTAGCTGCAAATGAACTTTTTAAGCTGAATGCTACTGGAAGACCAGGGGCATATGTTGCACTATCTAATACTTTGGCAGATGCTGGCAAATGGGAAAGTGTAACTGAGCTTAGAGAAATAATGAAGGAGAGAGGTATATCCAAGGACACTGGCCGAAGTTGGGTAGGAGCTGATAATGTCTTTTAGTTCATATAAAAGGAGCAAAGATGCACTACGGCATTTTTCTGTTAAACGAGATCATCCCTCTTGATTGCTTCTCGTTTACTCATGTCTTCTTGTGCTTCTGACAATAATACAAAGCATTTAAAGAAAAAATAAAACAATGTGTTTGATGAAGTGGATTGGCCATGGTGGCTTTTGAGAAGTTGCAGAAAGTATGTTTCTAGGGAAGGTAAATTCCAATTGACCAAAAAGAAGAAAAACACAACGCAGTTGCTGACTATTTTTAGCAAGGTTGAAATCATACCCGACTGCTTAGAAGAGATAACGTTGATTTTTTTGGCTTGGATGTAGCTATACATTAATAAATTCTTAACTTAAACAAAATAATTCGATTCACAAATAGAATACATTACGATTATCTTTTTAGTTCAAATCTCATGTTCGTTTCCAAGACCTATATACGAAGAAAATAAACAAAAATAAAAATAAAAACAAAAGAAATACAAAGATTTAATGGCTGACTTAATCAGAGTCCCTTGGTAAGAAATAGACTGGTATCAAAGCTCACAGTATCTTATTAATGTAAAGATTCATCTGTGTTGTATCTTTATATAATTTTGTCTTTTTTTTCTTAAAAAATAAAAAGAGAAATGTTACACAATAAAAAGGCAACACAAGTTTGTTTCCTGTCTGTTTCAAAAGTAATGTATTAAAATAGTAGTAGTTGACACCCAGCGCATCCCATCATCATCCATTAAATCAACCAAATGTCGAAAACATCCCTCATTTTAGAAATCAATTACTTTTTGTAATATATCTTTAAAGAAAAATAAAAAAAAATGTATTTAAAAATTACTTTTAAAAAGAACTTAAATACCATAAGAAAAAGAAAACAAGTATATTCATCTTTGTAGTCCAAAAATGAAAGTATTTAGGAGGGTACAAAATATGAATAAGTTTTATCTCAACACTGCACTTCCGATAAAAATTTTAAAAGAGTACTACATTTATTTAAATCGAAAAAATATTTTAAAAGAATGAATTTTCTTTTTATGTTTTATTTAACTTATATTTTTTAAAACCGCCACATAACCATTAATCACAACAGAATACTTATTAATAATATTTTCAATTGAAAAAAAAATTCACCGAACACAGAATGCTTTACTTTTATACTTGTTTGTAGAATAGTTTATATATGTTTCAGGGCTTGTAATTGTTTGAAGAAATGTGTGAATGAAATTGCAGACATGTTGGATGTGGTATTTATCTTGATTGAGGTGATAACGCCCCAAGTTCAACACATCACTGAATGATTCAATCTTAGCATGGCGACGCAGACAGGCCTCACAGTCAACTATTTGAAACTGCCACGTTTAATTACTTTCCCAATAAAATACAACAAGAACGTTGAATAATGGAGTTTTGGTATGGCAATCAACCCTACTCTTTAGCCATAGGATCAGTGCAGGTGGCTAACCGGCACCTAACTACGCGTTTCTGTTGTGCACTTCTTTCTCTTCTATGCTCTACTCCATGTTGCATTCGCCTTCTGGATAAGATATAAGCTTCAATATATATATTAAGCATATGAATGAGAAGATGAATTAAGAAGATATATATTAATTATCGAAGCATGTGCTGCTGCTCTGAAGACTGTAAATGCAGGCCACTTGGGTTTCTGTTGGGCCTGCCTTTTGCCTTCTTGTCTCTTTTGATCTCCCTTGTGGGGTGTGATTGTTTGGATTGTTGGGTAATGCTTCTCTTCTTTCTCTGCTAAGTTCTGAATTTGATAATCTATGATGAAAGTTTGAAAATAGCCTCTTGATTTTCATTCTTTGAAGGTTGATTTTGACGTGCATATGTCCTTGTTGTCTTTGCGTGACCATCATAGTAGAGTTTGCTCTGGCGCTCATCAAGGCTCCTATTGTGGTGATGGAGTGGTTCATCTCCAAGATTCCATGTTAAAATAATCTTTTTACTTTCATCTTAAAATAATGGTTTGGTAGATTGTCTTTTCATTAATTATGTCCATATATGTATATGATCATAATTTTCTGATTGATTATGTCATTACAACAACCCCTTCTATGCTTTGTTCAACCTACATAATCCTACTTAACAGTTTTATCAAATTCAATCTATCTCTCTTCTATATCATTATTATAAGGAAAAATAAAATAAATACATTTATATGCACTGTATTAGAAAGTTTATACTATATATTATTATAGATCATATACTGTTCGACGACGCATGCTAGCCTTTTAAATTTTAATAGACTGTCATTAATTAACTAAGATTTTTTACATTGTTAATAAATAAAAGTCCCTTAAATACTTGCAATTAAGATTTTATTTGCATCGAAATTGGGTCTCCGTATCTGTAATTTCGCATCTATCATAACATTTTTTATACTTTAGTACAAGGTCACGAGTATACTCTTTTGAATAAAATAATAAATGATTGAGTGTTAATGAGTTGGCAGTCACCTAAAAAAATAATGCACTGATGAGGAGCACTCGGAATATAATTATTTTTCTTTGTTAAACATTTTTTTTATATTTTTTGTTTTGCTATTATTTATATTATTGAGAATTCAATTTTAAAATAATATAAATTTAATATTTTTTACAGTCAAATTTTAAAAATATTATAATATAATAAATGTTAAATGAAAATATCAACTAACAATTACATATTATTAAAATTTTTAGGATAGTTATATTTTTTATTATGTTTGTAACTGTTGGGCAGCCCCAATCATTTATTTGCATTTTGCCATGCCATTTCGCCCATTTCAATATGTTCCCCATTTCCAGCAGCAAATCACAAAATATGGCACCGCCAATCAATTTCGATCTCTCCAATATAAATTAATTAAAAAGAATATAAGATACATTTTTTAGATTAGCTAATTAGAGAATGGTTTACATAATGGAATATTCAAAATTATTATTGTATGATAAAATAAACACAAATGATCAAAAAGTGTATTTAAGACATGATTAATCTAAACAAAAATCTTGTAATGAAAAATGTGTAATTAAAATTATAGATACAGAGAAAATATCTTTTAGATTAAAATGAACTTACTGTATGAGTCTAACAATCTATATAGATAATAAAAAATTGTGTAGAAAAATAAAATTTATTGAAATCAAATAAAAAATAAAAAAATCATAAAAATACATTTTTTAAATTACTTAATAATTAAAGAAAAAAAAAGTATTTACACATCTATCATCTCAATTTAATATATATATATATATATTTACTTATATCCATGTCGAATTAATTTAATTTTTTTTCATAAAATTCAAAACTATTCTATACAAAATCCACAAAACCCCATTTATTTTCCTAGTTTATGTGTTCTGTTACTTAGATATATCAAAACTCATAATAATATATTACTATTTATATTATTATAATATAAGCGTCAAAAATTCTTTTTGAAATATTTTTGTCGAGAAATTTGAAGCAATATATAAATTAAAATTAATATTTAATTTAAGAAAGAATAAATCGATGATTGCAAGTTGTGCTGTGCATCGCGTTCCGAATGAAGTCAATCTGTGAACAGCGATGGATTACAATTGCAGTGGTAACTGCAACATTTGTTTTTGGCTACTTCGTATTCAGAATCCCACCGTTATTAGCGACCTCCATCTTCAGTTTCGGCGATTCTCTTGCTGACACTGGCAACTTGTATCTCGCTTCCTACCACCCTTCTGAAGACTGCTTCCTTCCTCCCTACGGTGAAACCTTCTTCCACCATGTCTCTGGACGTTGCTCCGATGGCCGCCTCATCATCGATTTCATCGGTTCCGTTTCTCTGTTTCTCTCACTCCTACTTTTAATTTTTCATTTTCAAGTATAATCAAATTAGAATAGATGTAAAAAAATCTATCTATTAGCTAGATCATCCATAGATCTGTTATCTTCTGTGACGATGAATGTGTTGTAAAGCATAATGTATATTTGAATTCAAATTTTGAGTGAATGACAGTTACTGATGAACTTATAATTGGGTTTGTAGATTAAGTTCCAACATAAATGGAAAAAAATAATTTAAATGAATGAAGGTAGCTTTATTTGTTTTGTATTTGCAGCCGAGGCATTGGGACTTCCTTGGTGAAAGCTTATAAGGAAAAGAAGAATGCGGAGGGAGGAACCACTTTCTGTTATTGGGCCACGGCTTTAGAGCCGAGCTTTTTTAAAACAGAGGGGGGCATTTCTCTTCCAACGAAATTAATTCTCTGACAGATCATTGGGAATTGGTTCAAGGAATTGCTTCCTTCTCTCTGCAATAATTTAACAGGCAAAGTTATCCATTTTTTTTCTCTCTCTCTATCCACACAACCACTACCTTACACACTTATTTAAATCCAATGTCTTTTACTATGAAAAATATTAAATTTTACTTACTTTTTTATTTATTTTTTCTTAAAAATATAAAATTGACCATTTTATATCTTTTGTATTCTATGTCTAATGAATATAAAAAACCCATTTTTGTGATCAACTTAAAAAAACAATGATCCATCTATAACGTTCTTAAAAAAACAATCCAATAACATTCTTTAAAAAATAAGATCAGCTTTTAATACATAGGTTTAATTATTTGATATGTGTTGTTATGAAGGAGAGCAATTCCTTAAGATATTAATTGTAATATTAAACTTGTTGACTTTTTTGAGTTTATGTGAGGCTTTTTAATTAAATAATAAATTACTAAAATTTAAGAATTTTATATATCTATTATATTCTACGAAAAGATGAGCATATGCGCTTGTAGAAAAGAAAGACACATATAGACCCATTCCCTGAAAGAGTAAAGATTATTTAACACATTTAAATTTTTTACATTAATTTAATACTGTTTTTATTTACTTTTTACTCTCTTCTTTTTTAAAACAATATAAAAATTTATACTTTTATGATCATTTTACTCATGTAATCTGTATCAAATGAATGTAAAAGTATATCATAGTATCGTTATTTTCTCCTAAAACTCCAATGTAATTCCACGATTGATATAACTCTAACAATATCAAAAGGTTTAATTTTACAGATTGTCACGAAGTTTTGGAGAACTCATTATTTCTTATGGGAGAAATAGGAGGAAATGATCTAAATTATCTTTTCTTTCAACAAAAGAGCATAGCAGATGTTAAAACGTATGTTCCATATGTGATCAATGCAATAGCTTCAGCTATCCATGTAAGTTTGTTTGTTTTTTTTTTTTCATTTAGTAAACCTTTAATTCGTTTTTCTGCAATTACATATATATGGTATCACATTAATAATTCATAATATCTCGCCACCAAATTAATATTTTCTAACATTACGATTTCATTATCATCACTTTGATTCTCTATTTAACATAGGATGAGATGAGAAAATGATATATTTTATTTGTATAGTTTAATTGGGTGAGATCTTTTTTTTTCAAGATTAAAGTAATGACAAGAGAAAAATTTGAGGTATAGAGTTTTTGAAGTATTAAGGTGGTAACATAATAAGAATTTCATTTTCTTTTATTTTGCAGTATCTCGCTAAATATTTTTATTATAACTTTAAAAGATACCTAAAACCTTTTTGTCACTTGGTTTACAGGAGTTAATTGGTGTAGGAGCTCGCACACTAATTGTTCCAGGAAATTTACCAATTGGATGTAGTGTAATATATTTAACAATTTATGAGACCTTAGATAAGAAGCAGTATGACCAAAGTGGGTGTTTGAAGTGGTTAAATGAGTTTGCTGAATATTACAATCATGAACTCCAAAGTGAATTAGAAAGGCTTCGGACACTTCATCCTCATGCCAATATCATCTATGGTGATTATTACAATGCTGCATTGCCTTTATATCGTGATCCCAAAAAGTTTGGTAATCATCTAAATTCTCATTGTAATTCAGTGCATATTTGCTTTAAATAATCTTTCCATAACGCATATTCATACTTCATCATAACAAATTACTTCATACATATAATATTGTGATTCATACTTTGATTCCTATGCAGGATTTATTGGTCTTAAAGCTTGTTGTGGAAAGGGGGGTCCATACAATTTCAATAACTTAGTAAAATGTGGTGATCCAAGTGTGACTGTTTGTGATGATCCTTCCAAGCATATTGGTTGGGATGGAATTCATTTAACTGAAGCTGCATATAAATTAATTGCTCAAGGATTTATAAAAGGACAACATTCTCAACCTCGATTTAGTTCGTTGGGTTTGCCTAACGAAAATTTTGGTTATTTCAATAGCTGAATTATTTTTTCTTTTATTTTAAAGTGAGACAAGTTCAATGTAGCTCTCGTAATATGAATATTGTTCACACATGTATATTTTATGACTATAGTTATCAATCTTACAACTGCTGTCTTTATGATACTGATGTCAACAGTTTTATTTACAGAATTAAAAAAAAATATTGAGTCATGATAAAAACATTTCAGTAGAAATGTACAAATCATTACTGTAAAAACAATTTATTATGTCGATTATAATTTACAAGACATAAGACATAATCAAAGTTGTAATTATTATAAAACTTCGGTTATTATTAAAACCTATATAGAAAGTTTAAAGGATGACAATTTTGTAATAAATTATACGATTGTTTATACTAGTTAAACATAGAATGTAGAGAAAAAAATAGGAGGGTGATATTTATATTAGAAGACTTTGCATACTATTTTGTCACTATAAATCAGCGTATGATATTTAATTTTTTAGAATCAAATTTTAAATAAAAAATTATAATTATATACATTTAAAAAAAATAACAATTACAAATAATTAAAAATTTAGGATAATCATAACTTCTATTATTTTTGGAAATATTGAGAAAGAAAATATTTTACTGGAGTAAACTTATCAATATTAAATGACTTAAAATATTAAAAGAGAAAATGAAAAATTATGTTGCACAATAAAAATTATTTAAACTAAACAAAAATAATAACCAAATAAAGAATAGAAGATGATTTTTTAATTAGTTAATTATGTAATGGTTTACATAATTGAATATTCAAAATTATTCCCGTGTGATAAAAATAAACTCAAATTATAAAAAAGTGTATTTTAGACATGAATTAATTTAAATAAAATATTGTAATGAAAAATGTGTAATTAAAGAAAGATCGTGTAGAAAAAAATATTGAAATAAAATGAAGCATAAAAAATCAAATCCAAAAAGTACATTTTTTAAAATAAATAAAAAAAAAAAAAAAAAAAACAAAACAAAGTATTTACACATCCACAATCTCAAATTTTTTTTTTAAATATTACTTACATCCTGCCTACCTAATTTAAGTTTTTTTCATAAAGATCAAAACTATTTTATACAAAATCTACAAAGGCCCAGTTGTTTTCCTAGTTTTAGTTCTGTTACTTAATAATATATTACTATTTATATTATTATTATTATAATATACGCGTCAAACAATTATTTTACTTGTGAAATATTTTTGTAGGCAAATTTGAAGCCATATATAAAGTAAAATTTTTGTAGGCAAATTTGAAGCCATATATAAAGTAAAAGTAATATTTAATTGGTTTAATGTCTTAATAGATCTTTATTTTTACTAGAATTTTAAATAGGTCTCTTTCTTTTTCAACGTCTTAATTGAGTCCTGTGGAATTGAATCAAATAGGACCTTTCCGTCAATTTGAAATGAGGCCGTTAAGAAGAATATGTTGACAGTGTCAGTATACCTTCTTAACGGCGTCATTTCAATTTGACGGTAAGGTCCTATTTAATTCAATTTTATAAAAATTAGGACTCAATTGAGATTCCGAAAAAGAAAGGGACCTATTTAAAATTCTGGGTGAAAATAAGAACGTATTCAAACATTAAACCTATTTAATTTAAGAAAAATTGACGATTGCAAGTGTGATTTGTGGTGTGTATCGCATTCCGAATGAAGTCAATCTGCAAACAGCGATGGATTACAATTGCAGTGGTAACTGCAACATTTGTGTTAGCTACTTCATATTCAGAATCACCACCGTTATTAGCGGTGCCGCCATACCCATTCACCTCCATCTTCAGTTTCGGCGATTCTCTTGCTGACACCGGCAATTTCTATTTTGACAGCCCTTCTCATCGCTGCTTCCAACCACCCTACGGTGAAACGTTCTTCCACCATGTCTCTGGACGCTGCTCCGATGGCCGCCTCATCATCGATTTCATCGGTTCCGTTTCTCTGTTTCTCTCACTCCTACTTTTAATTTTTCATTTCAAGTATAATCAAATTAGAATAGATGTAAAAAAATCTATCTATTAGCTAGATCATCCATAGATCTGTTATCTTCTGTGAGATGAATGTGTTGTAAAGCATAAGTATATTTGAATTCAAATGTTTGAGTGAATGACAGTTACTGATGAACTTATAAATTGGGTTTTGTAGATTAAGTTCAAAAATAAATGGAAAAAAATAATTTAAATGAATGAAGGTAGCTTTATTTGTTTGTTATATGCAGCAGAGGCATTGGGACTTCCATTGGTGAAAGCTTATAAGGAAAAGAAGAATGCGGAGGGAGGAACCAATTTTGCTGTGATTGGAGCCACGGCTTTAGAGCCGAGCTTTTTCGAACAGAGGGGCATTTCTCTTCCAACCAATCATTCTCTGACAGATCAATTGAATTGGTTCAAGGAACTGCTTCCTTCTCTCTGCAATTATTCCACAGGCAAGTTCTCCCTTTTTTTCTCTCTCATCTCTCTACAAAACCACTACTCTACACACCTGTCTTTTTCCTATTGGCGGTGATGGATATTAGTCAGCAAAGATCAACTTTAAAAAAGAAAACCCATCCAATAACGTTCTTAAAAACACAGCAATAAAACGTACATGTTGAATTTTGTTATCCGTAAACATAACTAAGCGAGATATTATTTATTTTTGTGGTTCAATAATATTAAAACTGTATCTTTTAATATGCATTATAATCTTTTAAAAAAGAAAGATGTATATAAATAATAATGTTTTGCTTTATAAACCACGTAGAATTTGTGGATGTAATAGAACACTTAAGTTAAATATAATTTATTTTACTCCAATAGAGATAATGTCTAACAATATTTTTTAGTCATCTCATCAAATGTTGATGATTATTCACTCTCGACTCAATATTAATTTTTTTAATAGTATTGTAATTAAGGATGAAAAAAAATAGTTCCGACGAATATTCATGGTACAATTTAGTTATTTATTTGTTAATGAGACGGACAAAGAAATTATGGTATTGGACTCACATGTACATCTTATTTATTAATAAATTTTATTTTTTGTGGCTTTTTTATAAATGAAGTGATCATCTTATTTATTAATAAATTTTATTTTGTATTTTTTTTATAAATGAAGTGATCAAATGAAATTATTAACTAAAGAAACATAAATTATTGAATAATGTTAATAAGTGGACTTTAAGTCTAATTCAACCTCACAAAACTGGTTTGTATTGCATCTACTTTTACACTTTAAGTTAATCACGTATATATTCTAAATTAAGTGAGCTTAAATCTTACCTATAAGTCGATTTTGTGGGATTGAATTAGGTTTAATGTTCACTCCTTAACTGATAATAATTTAGATTTAATTTCATTTTTTTTATACTAATGAAATGAAAAAAAAAAATTAAAAAGATTATTTTTTAAAAATTTATATGTTGGGGAAACACGTTTAAATTTGTTTTTTTATAAGAATAAATTTATTTTTATTTATATTTTAATGTGTATTTTGATTTAAAATGTATTTAAAAAAATTAATTTTTGTTATCTAAATTTATATTTCAACAATTTATTATTAAATGATTTTGTTTAAACTTTGTAATAAATAAAACAAAAAAATATTTATAAGCATCATAGATATTTATTAGTATAAAAAAATTCACCAATATTCTTTGATAAATACCCAACAAATAATGGAAGGATTTTTTCAAATAGGATATGTAGCAAATACAACTATGCAACCCTTATTAATCTTAGATATCTTTTCGAGCTTAATAAAGACGAGAGTGTTAATCTGAGTCAACTCGAATATATAAGTTGATTTATCATAGGTTAAACTAAAAATAAATTAACTTAATTCGACCCACATGTTTTATATTTTTTTAATTTATTTTATATATTTATTATATTATAATCAAAGTGAATTGATTGAAAATTAAAATGTTGATTTATATAACTTGACCAACAGATAAATTAAACATCTAATCCATTAAAAAATTCTTGAAGAAAAGTTATATTATCAAAAAAATCAAATTTTTATCCCACAATAGTAAATAATTATAATAAAAAAACTTGTAAAAAATGATACAAAATTAATAAAGGAATATTATTGTTAAGTTATGGATTAATCCACCTTCAACTTGACTTAAAATCCCTTTAACCCACAAATTAAATTAGCCAAATTCAATTTGATCCTTATATTAAAAAAAAATTAACTTTTTTTCAATCCAACTAGGTTCAAATTAGTGAATTTGACTTATGGATTGGAACCTATTTTAATATCTCTAAAATAAAACATAAAATTTCATCAAATTTTATGAATGCACACAAAATATTAATAACTCAATAATATTTTTCTTATTTTAAACCACATACATACTAATAAATAAATATTCAACTTCCTTTTTCATCACATCTATCATTCTCTTTGTACAATTTTTTTTTCTTATCTTTCTTATTCAAATTCTATAATAATAATAGTCGTTTTTTCTTTTACTAATTTACAAACACAGTACACAAAATGTTAAAGCATAACCAAGTTTCTAAGTCAATATTAAGTGTGATTTTATGTAATTTTTTTAAAAGACATAGCTTTATACATGTAGGATTAATTATTGATCTGTGTTTACGAAGAAGGAGAGCATTCTTTGAGATATTTTTTGTAATATTAAACTTGTTGACATTTACGAGTTTATGTGAGACCTGTTTAATTAAATAATAAATTATTAAAATTTAATAATTTTATATAAAAGAGGAAAGAAATAAATAAACTACATAAAAAGTTAACGTACAAGTGCCTTTGTCACAAATAAAAAATATATTTACTTTGGTGTATTTCTCAAGTTTTACATAAAAGTTTTTATATAACTAAATAAAAAACAATATCTCACAATAATAAAAAATATGCAATATAAAATTAAATTAAGTTCCACAATCTTCACAGTGCTTTGTAGAAAAGGAAGAAAAAGATATAAATCTATTCCTAAAACTGCAATGTAATTACACGAGATATAACTCTAACAATATCAAACGGTTTAATTTTACAGATTGTCGTGAAGTTTTGGGAAACTCATTATTTCTTGTGGGAGAAATAGGAGGAAATGATCTAAGTTATCTTTTATTTCAACAAAAGAGCATAGCAGATGTTAAAACGTATGTTCCATATGTGATCAATGCAATAGCTTCAGCTATCCATGTAAGTTTGTTTGTTTGTTTTTTCATTTAATAAACCTTTAATTCGTTTTTCTGCAATTACATATGTCATCACTTTAATCTTTCATAATATCTCGTCACCAAATTAATATTTCTAACATTACGATTTTATTATCATCACTTTGATTCTCTATTTAACATAGGATGAGATGAGAAAATGATATATTTTATTTGTATAGTTTAATTGGGTGAGATCTTTTTTTTTTCAAGATTAAAGTAATGACAAGAGAAAAATTTGAGGTCTAGAGTTTTTGGAGTATTAAGGTGGTAACATAATAAGAATTTCATTTTCTTTTATTTTGCAGTATCTCGCTAAACATTTTTTGTACAGTTTTAAAAGATACTTAAAACCTTTTGTCTTGCTTTACAGGAGTTAATTGGTGTAGGGGCTCGCACACTAATTGTTCCAGGAAATTTACCACGTGGATGTAGTGTAATACATTTAACAATTTATGAGACCTTAGATAAGACGCAATATGACCAAAGTGGGTGTTTGAAGTGGTTAAATGAGTTTGCTGAATATTACAATCATGAGCTCCAAAGTGAATTAGACAAGCTTCGAACACATCATCCTCATGTCAATATCATCTATGGTGATTATTACAATGCTGCATTGCCTTTATATAGTGACCCCAAAAAGTTTGGTAATCATCTCAATTCTCATTGTAATTCAGTGCATGTTTGCTTTAAATAATGTTTCCATAATGCATATTCATACTTCATCATAACAAATTACTTCATACAAATAATACTGTGATTTATACTTTAATTTCCTATGCAGGATTTATTGGTCTTAAAGCTTGTTGTGGAAAGGGGGGTCCATACAATTTCAATGAATTAGTAAAATGTGGTGATCCAAGTGTGAATGTTTGTGATGATCCTTCTAAGTATATTGCATGGGATGGAATTCATTTAACTGAAGCTGCATATAAATTAATTGCTCAAAACTTTATAAAAGGACAACATTCACAACCTCAATTTAGTTCGTTGTGTTTGCCTAATGAAAATTTTGGTTATTTTAATGGCTGAATTATTTTTTTCTTTTGTTTTAAAGAGTGTGAGACAAGTTCAAATGTAGCTCCCATAATATAAATAGTGGTCACACATGTATCTTTTAGGACTATCAATCTTACAACTGTTATCTCTACGATATTGAAGTCAAAAGTTTTATTTTCAGAACTAAAAAATGTTGATTCATGATAAAAACATTTAAGTGGAAATGTACAGATCATTAATGTAGAAATGAGTTTTTATGATGATTTATTTTATCAATTATAATTCCTACAATATAATAAATGATGAAGTGACATTATAATTATGATAAGACTTTATACATGGATTATCACTAGAACTTATATAAAAAGTTTAAACAATGTTAATTTTGTAATAAATTATAAAATTTTCTATACGAGTTAAACTTATATCCGATAAAAAAATGGGAGGATGACATTTATATTAAAAGACTTTACATACTAATTTATCACTATAACTAATATATAATATTTAATCTTTTTTAAAGTCATTTCGTGTTTTACTTTCATTCTCTTCCTTGTCTTTTTTTCCATCATGAACTTAAATATGTTTCTATCAAAGAATATAACTTAATTTTGGATCACAAACAAAACAATGGTGAAAACGTTACAAATAGAAAAAATGTATAAACTAATGTAGACTAAAGAAGTAAAAGAGTCTGGATATTTCCATCAACTTCTTAAATCGATTCATCCCGAATTGTTGGATCATGCTTATTATTTTTTTCTTATCAGTGTATTAATTTAAATTATGTATTTCTTACGACAAAATTTTCACAAGTTACGGATGAGATAATCGGAGAGTATTTGAATCGCTCCATTCTTTTAACAATAGAAACCAAGTGACTTAAAAATTAAAACAGACGAATTAAAAGTTTTTAAATACGATCTTCTTACATTAAATTTAATTGGACTTAGAAAATTTAAGAGATCATTACACTTTAAAAAAAAATTACCCATACATTTGTTTATAAATTATATGTTGTTATTAAATATATTTTAATTCAAAAATATATAAAAATTAATAAAGGGTTAAATATGATTTTAGTCTCTCAACTATCAAGCGATTTTAGTTTTCGTTCTTCTTTCATACATTTTGATTCTTAAGCTTAAGGAAACTATAATTTTTAGTCTTTCATGACTAACGACATTAATTTTTTTCTTAGGTGGCTACATCATTTTTCTATTTTCTGAAAATCCTTCCCTGCATCTTCACGTCGAGCTTCTCTCCCTCCCTCTCCCTCCGTCTCCGGGTGGCAAACTGTCTCCCTCTACACCGACCAGACCGGCACCAACATCTCACACTCTGTCTCCATCGCTGGCGAGGACCCACCGCACTCACCGAGATCGGTAATCTATCACCGGATGAAAATGTTGACCTTGAAACCAAGCTCTGAACAAAATCACCTTTGCTTCTGTTGAGTTGTTCACGACTCCGATCTCGACGGCTCTATGTTTTTTGTAGTAGGTTTTTTGCCATATTTGTTGATCCGATGGGAAGGTGATAGATAAGAGGGAGGCAAAGACCGAGCGAATGTCGAAGTATATACCAAATTTTTTTGGTTGATGAGTATTTTCGATTTGTTTTTGAATTTGGTGAAACGTTGGTGGTGATTGTAAGTGGTTCAAGGGTTTTTATGCATTTTTGATCTATGGCTTCGGAAGTAGTTCCATCTTTCAAGGATTTGTTGAAATGTTGCAATTGTGGATGTGGTTGCTCCATGTTGGCTTAATCTTCGGGGCTTTGGATTCGATCTGTTAAACGGAAGCATGATGAGTTCAAAACGGATGGTCAACTGGCCATGCCGACGTTTGCAAAGGTCGAAATTGAGAATGAATGTGTGGCCTTGCGTATGATGGTCAGTATGCAACACAAAACCATTCAGGTAAAATATTACTAAACCGAGGATACTTCAGGTAAAAATATTACTAAAATATGATAATATATTTACTGGAAACGTACTTATTCCTAGGAGGTTGACGATGGGTTTCACTTTCACATCTAATTATGATATGAAGGCACATATTACTGAAATATATATATGAAATAAGAAAACCGCACAAAAAGGTTGACAGTGATGGAGTTTTATATAAATGTTGAAACAAAAAGCAAGAGGTGAAATGATGCGTCATTAATTTAAAGTATTCAGAGTAACAATAATTTTATTTGTTCATGCAATTCATACCTTTGCATTGTAGCAGTAGGTGGGTAGTTGAGGGTAGCGGTAAGTGTTCTGATATATATACATTTTTTATCTGACTAATTTAGAAAAATCATTTTTCAAATGGGCCTAAAAGTGAAAGCAACAGAGGAACTGAAGGAGTGCGTGTCGCGCTTCTAAAGGGCCCTTTAGAATCCTAAATGATGATCTCAAATTAATTAAGTAATTAAGGAAATAGGAAAGAATGAGGAAGGTTTCAGCCATTAAAACACTTCAGGAGGTTTTGGTTTTCCTTTTTGAAACAGTGGGCGGTTTCAACCATTAAAAATTCTGCTTAATTTTTTTGACTTGTTAATCTATTCACACACTTCTTCAAAAGAGAGAAGATACACAGCAGAAAATGGGGAATGTTAGATTTCTCAGAATGAAAAAGAAGCAGCCCAAAATAAATCAAGCTACCTGCTTCATAAAGTTGGTCACCTTGCTTACAGAAAAGTGTATAGGAAAAGCAATTCTTTGGGTTAGTGATTGACTTTTTGAATACTTCGATGAATGTTTGAGAAATCTTTAATTCTTCATATTCAGTGTATATTAGTTTGGGAACAAACTCTAACAGGATGACTCAATAAACAGAGGATATCGACCGCGAGAGAGTGGTCGATGGAGAGAAGAAGGTCTTTGCTTGTTTGAGTGATGAGGTTTTAAAGGCAAGGTCACCATGATTGTTGGCGGTAGCAAGAAGAGAGAGGGCTTAGTTCCTGGTAGAAGCGGTCATGGGTGAAGAATAGAAACGTGCACACAACTAAAATAAAATATGTGATCACACGTGTGGTTAGATGTTAACCACCTCGAATCAAATTTAATGGTGTTGGTTTCGTGGAGGAAAATTTATAGTTTGTTTAAAATTAATTAAAGTGTATCTTGAAAGAAAAACAAAATCTAAAATTATTAGATGACACATGCAAACCTTTTTTAAATTTTAATAGACTACCATTAATTAACTGCCAAGATCTTTTTACATTGTTACTAAATAAAAGTCCCATAAATACTTTTATACCGACAGGTCCTCCCGACACATAAACCGAGCGAGCGGTTAGCCCAATATCGTCCACCTAGGTCACAATCAAGACCGCACGTCCGAGCTAGGACTGACCTTTGACCAACTGTACATAGAACGAGCGGTCTTCCAAGATCGTCTTCATCCGGTCGGCTAGCAATAATATGCAGGCCCTGTATTAACGAGTACATAACAAGACGATCGTCAGTAAGCGGTCGTCAACCTCCAAGACAGGACGATCCTGTCATCATGAAAGATAATGTCATTGAGGCATTCGCCGGGCACACGTCAATCGCCCTCAATAGCGATCGTCTTAACAGCGATCGTCCGACACCAAGATAAGCGATCGAAAGAGTCCAAGGCAAAACGATTCTGTCATCCTCCCAAGGTCGCCTATCCAGGCGGGGACAAAACCCCTTCGCATAATAAAATTATGCTCGGGCTTAAGGGACTTATGTACCGTCCGGTCCTCCCTATTCATGAACCGAACGTCCACCCAGGAGGGCAATCAGGACCGAGCGTCCAGTGTATATACGGTTAAATACTAATGACTCATTAAAGCCCTCAACGAAGATTAAGGTATGATTGGGCCGTTTTCAGGCCCACAAAAGGTAAAAGCCCATTACAATCAGTATAAATAAAGGTTCCAGGTATGAGTTCTGGACAGATTGCTTACAATGCAACATATACATGCATTACAGACCACTTGGTCACGTTACTGACTTAAGCGTCGGAGCGCCTTTGACAGGTACACGACCGCCCGGCTTGGAAAGCGAGAAGGGAGAGGACGAATACTACAACCAGAACTTGAAGACGAGAGCCGAGCCCATTCGGCCCTTCCCAGCCCTCAGCCAAGAGCAAGTGAAAAGGCGTCCGTCCGATCCGTAACATGGGATATCATCCGTCCGGCAGTCTTTATCGTTTGTGAGTGTTTTAACAGGGTCCCCCAGATCCGATCGAAAATTTTTTAATTAAAATTTTATTTGCTTTGAAATTTGATCTCCCTCTCTTGCAATTTCGGATCTATAATGATATATTTACACTTTAGTACAAGATTACTAGTTTGCTCTTTTCAATACAACATTAAATGCTTGCGTTTTAATTAGGTGAGAGAGTCACCTAAATAATAATGCACCAACGAGGAGCATTACAAACTATAGTTATTTTTCTTTTAAAGAAAAAAAAATTGTATTTGGTTTCTCTTCCATTAATAAGTATAAAATTTATGTTTTGTTATTATTTATATTATTGAGTGTAACGACCTTTACTAATATTATGAAGAGAAGCATATATATTTATATCAAAAGCAAAAGGATAACAGTTTGTAAAATTATCTATAGTCATCCAACTCTTAGAAAGATTTCAGGAGTATTTCAAAATTTATAAAAAATAAGACAAATATCAATATATTAACATCATAATTTTTGGACTATTTATGTGAAGATCCTTTTTCCATTAGTCCTAAGCTACTAGTCTCCAATTTCGATATAAAGACAAAACAAAGTATTTACATATCCACAATCTAAATTTAAAAAAAAAACATATTACTTACATCATGTCTAACTAATTTAAATTTGTTCATAAAAATCAAAACTATTTTATACAAAATCTACAAAGGCCCATTTGTTTTCCTAGTTTATTAGTTCTGTTACTTAATAATATATTACTATTTATATTATTATTATAATATAATCGTCAAAGAATTATTTTACATGTGAAATATTTTTATCGGCAAATTTGAACCAATACATAAATTAAAGTTAATATTTAATTTAAGAAAGAATATAAATTGAGGTTCGCAGGGTGTAATGTGGTGCAGCGCATTCAGGATGAGGTTAATCTGTAAACAGGTATGGATTACACTCGCAGTGGTAACTGCAGCATTTATGATAGCTACTTCAAATTCAGAATCACCACCGTTATCAGTGGCGTCGCCATGCTCATTCACCTCCATCTTCAGTTTTGGAGATTCTCTTGCTGACACTGGCAATTTCTATTTTGAGCGCCCTTCTCATCACTGCTTCCAACCACCCTACGGTGAAACCTTCTTTCACCATGTCTCTGGACGCTGCTCCGATGGCCGCCTCATCATCGATTTCATCGGTTCGGTTTCTCTTTTTCTCTCACTCCTTTTAATTTTTAATTTCAAGTATAGTCAAATTAAAATATATAAAAAATCTATCTATTAATTAGGTCATCCATAAGTGTGTTATCTTCTGTGAGATGAGTATGTGGTTGAGCATAATTATATTTGAATTATAATGTTTAAGTGAATGACAGTGATGGACATATAAATTGGGTTTTGTAGATTATGTACAAACATAAATGGAAAACAATAATTAAAATCAATGAAGGTAGCTTTATTGGTTTGTTATTTGCAGCTGAGTCATTGGGACTTCCATTGGTGAAAGCTTATAAGGAAAAGAAGAACGCGGAGGGAGGAACCAATTTTGCTGTGAGTGGAGCCACGGCTTTGGAGGCAAGGTTCTTTGAAAAGAGGGGCTTTTCTATCCAAACCAATAATTCTCTGACAGTTCAATTGAATTGGTTCAAGGAATTGCTTCCTTCTCTCTGCAATAATTCCTCAGGCAAGTTCTCCATTTTTTTTCTCTCTCATCTCTCTACACAACCACTACCTTACAAACTTATCTTCTTCAATGCTTTGTCCTTGCTTTTTCCTATTGGTTGTGATAGATATTAGTCGGGAAAGGATCAACTTAAGAATATTATATTAGGTAAAACTTAAATAAAAATAAATAAATAAAATTTAAGTTCTAAAATAAATTTTTTAAAAATTTCTTATAAGAAAATTGATTGTTTATTTTTATGTCAAGTATTATTTTCTCTAAAATATAATTTTTTATATCAAAATTTATAATTTAGTGATAAATATAACGTTATAATACTTTTAATATATCACATTAATTCATTCAATTTTTTTATGAAAATTTCTTTGATTTTTGCATTTTAGAACATTAATATTTGATTTCATATTTTTTTTATTTATGTCAAATGATATTTTTAAATAAAATAAAATAAAATAGACATAACCAAGAAGTTTCTAAGTCAACATTAAGTGTCATTTTAAGTAACTATTTTTAAAAGCTATAGTTCCATACATTTAGGTTTCTTGGTGTGTTTATGAAGATGGTGAGCAGCGTATTATTTAAGATATACATATTTTTTTATATTAAGCTTTACATTTATGAATTTATGCAAGGCATATTTAATTAAAGATTAAGTAATAAATTACTAAAAAGTTCACAGTTTTATATACTTATTATATTCTACAAAAAAAGATGAGGAGATGTTTGTGCAAAGTGAAGTGAGAGATATAGATTCGTCCCCTAAAATTCCAACATAATTTCACAATTGATGTAACTCTAAAAATATCAAAAAGTAAATAAAGGTTTAATCTTGCAGATTGTTCTGAAGTTTTTGGGAACTCGTTATTTGTTATGGGTGAAATTGGAGGAAACGATTTCAATTTCCCTTTGTTTCGTCAAAAGAACATACCAGAGATTAGAACATATGTTCCATATGTAATCAATGCAATAACTTCAGCTATTCATGTAAGTTTTTTATTTTATTTTTTTAGTTAGTAAACCTTTAATTCTTCTTCTGCAATTACATATGTTATCACTTTAATAACCTAAAATATCTTGTCACCAAATTAATATTTCTAACATTACGAATCACCACTTTGATTCTCTATTCAAACGTAGGGTGAGATGATAAAATGATATATTTTATTTATATAGATTCGTTTAGTGAGATTTATTTTTAAAAAAATTAAAAGTAATGACAAGAGAAAAATTTGAGGACTAGAGTTTTTGTAGTATTACGGTGGTAACATATGCATATTTACATTTTCTTGTTTTACATTATCTCGCTGAACATTTTTATTTTAACTTCAAAGCATACCTAAAACCTTTTGTACTTTATTTTATAGGAGTTAATTGATGCAGGGGCTCGAACACTAATTGTTCCAGGAAATTTGCCAATTGGATGTAGTGTTATTTATTTAAGAATTTATGAGACCCTAGATAAAGAGCAGTATGACCAGAGTGGGTGTTTGAAGTGGTTAAATGAGTTTGCTGAATATTACAATCATGAGCTCCAGAGTGAATTAGACAAGCTTAGAACACTTCATCCTCATGCCAATATCATTTATGCTGATTATTACAATGCTGCATTGCGTTTATATCGTGACCCCACAAAGTTTGGTAATCTTCTGAATTCTCATTGTAATTTTTTTGTATGTTTGCTAAATAATGTTCCATAACGCAGCTTCATACTTCATTATAACAAATTACTTCATACATGTAACATTATGATTTGTACTTTGATTCCTACGCAGGATTTATGAGTATTAATTGTTGTTGTGGAAAGGGAGATCCATACAATTTCTGTGGCACTGAAAGCTTCAATGTTTGTGATGATCCTTCCAAGTATATTGGATGGGATGGATTGCATTTAACCGAAGCTGCATATAAATTAATCGCGCAAGCTTTTATAGAAGGACCATATTCTCAACCTCAATTTAGTTCGTTGTGTTTGCCCAATGCAAACTTTGGTCATTTCAATTATTGAACTATTTTTTCTTTGTTTGAAAGGAAGTGAGACGAGTTCATTGTATCTCTTTGTGATATATAATATTCTACAAACTTATTTTTATTATTCTATAAACTCATTCTTACCCAAAATTATTCTTGCACCTAATATGAGTGTGAAATCGAAATTATGACGAGACTATGAACCAAAAAGAAAATAGTTTAAAATAGATTTTGAAATAACTACTTGTCAATACTTAATTTAACATGGGTGAAATAATTTTATTTTAAAAAAAGTACATAAAAAATATTGTGAAGTTAATTTTTTAGAAATATAAACATAAATTAGAAATTAATTATTGAAAATAATTAAACAATGAAAATAATAAATAAAAAACAAAAAGAAATAAAAAAAAAGAATAAAATCACAGTTTTTCACTTTTCTCTTCTTTTAATGGATTAATTAACTCAATATATTTTTACTTTCTCATTATCTTTTTTTTTTCTCCACACTTTATTTTTCACGTCACTTTTTCCATCATCTTCCACGTTACCTATTTTTTTTTGATAATGATACTTTTATAATATTTTTTGACAACATTTTAACATCATCTACGTATCATTTTGTGATTGTTCCAAAACTATTTCATAATCAATAATAATAATCATAAACACCAACATGGATCAATCACATAATGACACGTAGATAGTATTAAAATGCTGTGAAAGTATGATTATCCTTTTTTTATATAATTTTTCTATTCACTTATTTCTTTTATTATTTGTACCCCTCGGTTATAACAACAGATCAAAATGATCTTAAAAATAAAAGAGACGAGTTACAAGTTTTTAAATTCAAACATGTTACATTGAGTTTTGCTAAATTTAGGAAAAATTCAAGAGATCGTTATACTTTAAAAAACTAATTTACTCATAATTTGTTTATAAATTATATGTTTAATTATTAAATATATTTTAATACAAACAATATTTAAAAATTTATAAATATTAAAAGCTTACAAAATATATATAAATAACAATACATGTGGATTAAATTTCAACAAAATAAAAGAAGAATGTTAATAAATGACAAAGATTTAGATGGGAAACAAACTCTATTGAGTCTCGTTCCAGGTGAAGAATGAACTAAAAAAATATTACCAATGTCACATTCTAGTTCTTAAATAAGGTTTGGACAAATTTATGTTGTGAATAAGGACTACTTAAATTTATGTATCTACGGTACTTTCATGCCCGTCTTTCCAGACATCGTGTTTCCGTGGTCGTCTTCTCAGATCGACTTTCTAGGTTGTCTATTGTTTTTTCAGGATGTCTTCTCAAGTCGTTTTTCATAACGTTTTTCTAGGATGTCCTCCCAAGTTGTCCTTTCAGACCGTTCTTCTATGGACGTTCACCTAGGTCGTGTCAAGTGGTAATGATTCATCAAGTCCTTAATGCAAATTAAGGTGTGATTGGACCGTCATTAGACCAATGAAACACAACTAGTATAAATAAAGGTCTCAGGTATGATTTTAGGATTACGATGCATAATGTATGCATTACTTGCTATGACAAATCATTCGGTTATATTACTAACTTGAGCGTTGGAGTGCTTTGACAAGTACTCACCCACGGTTTGAACAAGGAAAAAGAAGAACGATCACTTACATGGAAGACCACTAGGAAGTTTTTCCGGTCTTAAAAACAACTTGTATTGCTTTGAGTAAGGGACTTCGATCCTATACCCGAAACACATTATAATTTATTATATTGTTAATTTAAAAATTTTCTGATTAGGACAACTAATATGTATAATTGACTGAGATATGATATCCAAATCAATCTGTTAAAATAATTCAATCTTTATTTAAAAATTGTTTTTCAAGTCAGAATTTTATAAGATCTAATTATCACAACTTTAATGTAGCTTAGGAAGAATCCTTGTCACATCATTTAAGCCTTTGTCTGTTTAGAAGTTTATTATCATTTCGTTCTTTGACCAATAATGCGCCACAAATGTTTAGTTTTGATTGAAAATAAAGGCGTGAGGCAAATTCAATAATACCCTGTTCAAAAGTAAAGTTTTATGATGAAATTTCCAACTTCTTTACCAAAAACAAAGGAACAATATGGGCGAAAAGAAAAGAAACTAGCAGAAGATTTTTAATATAAATGGATTTTTAATTATGCAGACAAAGACAATGTTCCTTATTCTAGAACGTGATCAATATATTCTGATTCAAACTCAGGGTTTTCTTTTCCACTGTTTTGTATTGGTTGGATGACCTTAACTTGTAGTAGCACAGGTACATACATACCTTAAATAAACCAATAAGAAATTGAACAACACTGCATAAAATCAACACTGTCACACAATAATGTCACAAAAAAAGACAGTGTTCAAAAGGCAAAGTTATTTTATAGCAAGTTGCTTATATCATTGCCATTCGCGCAGTGTTTTTTTATGGATGAATTACAAGACATACCATTTTAAAACAAAAAGAAAGTGGTTTTGTGTGGAACTGTGGCAGGGTTGTCTGTTTTTGAAACCTGCAAAGAAATGGCACATGGTTTAAGAAAGCCCTTCATCATAAAACCCTCGCTCGCTCCACACTCACAAAAACCGCTTATACGATCACTTCAGAACCGAAACCTCCCAAACATGGAAAGCGCCACTAAAGTTGGAGCGGCAGCTCAAACCACCTCTGCTTCCCCCTCCTTCGACGGCACGCTCGGCCGCCACTTGGCTCGCCGCCTCGTTGAGATAGGCGTCAGGGACGTCTTCTCCGTCCCCGGCGACTTCAACTTGACCCTGCTCGACCACCTCATTGCCGAGCCCAGCCTCAACCTCGTCGGCTGTTGCAACGAGCTCAACGCCGGCTATGCCGCCGACGGCTACGCGCGTGCCAGGGGCGTCGGTGCTTGCGTCGTCACCTTCACCGTCGGTGGACTCAGCGTCCTCAACGCCATTGCCGGAGCTTACAGCGAAAATTTACCGGTGATTTGCGTCGTCGGAGGACCCAACTCGAACGACTACGGCACCAACAGGATCCTCCACCACACCATCGGGTTACCCGATTTCTCCCAAGAGCTTCGGTGCTTTCAAAGCGTCACGTGTTTTCAGGTGAGAGAAGAGTGCGTCTTTTGGTTTTGGTTTTTGATTTTTGAGGCTTTGAATGGAATTGAACTATCTTTGATTAGTATGAGTGTTTATGATTCTTCAGGCAGTAGTGAATAACTTGGACGACGCGCATGAACTAATTGACACTGCGATTTCTACTGCTTTAAAGGAAAGCAAGCCTGTTTATATCAGCATCAGTTGTAATCTTCCTGGAATTCCTCATCCAACTTTTGCTAGAGACCCCGTTCCATTCTTTCTTGCACCCAAGTACGCTTTTCTTCGCTTTTCTAATCACTTTTCAACAACAAGAAAAAACATTTTCGTTAAATTGCTATTAAGAAAGTTAATATAAACACAACCGATGAAACAAAAAATTTATTCCTAATAAATTTGAAAATGGTGAGAATAAATTTTTAGTTATAGATAAAAACGTAATATTCAAAACCCGCATTCTCAGTGACCCTTGCCATGCCATCCCTATTTGTTTGTGACTAGATGACCCTATTGTCCGCATATAGTCTTTTTATTTTTCCCATAAAAAGTATTAAAAATTTATATGTATATATGCGGTGAGGCAAATTCCAGACGACCAATGTTTGTTCTTGCATCGACATTTGGCAATAAGTTAATGGTGGAAAAAAATATTTTTTTATGTAGGACAAGTAATCAAGAAGGATTAGAAGCTGCAGTGGAAGCGACTGCTGCTTTACTGAACAAAGCTGTGAAGCCAGTGATTGTGGCTGGACCAAAATTAAGGGTTGCGAAGGCACAAAAGGCCTTTCTGGAGTTTGCAGAAGCTAGTGGATATCNGGACGACGCGCATGAACTAATTGACACTGCGATTTCTACTGCTTTAAAGGAAAGCAAGCCTGTTTATATCAGCATCAGTTGTAATCTTCCTGGAATTCCTCATCCAACTTTTGCTAGAGACCCCGTTCCATTCTTTCTTGCACCCAAGTACGCTTTTCTTCGCTTTTCTAATCACTTTTCAACAACAAGAAAAAACATTTTCGTTAAATTGCTATTAAGAAAGTTAATATAAACACAACCGATGAAACAAAAAATTTATTCCTAATAAATTTGAAAATGGAGAGAATAAATTTTTAGTTATAGATAAAAACGTAATATTCAAAACCCGCATTCTCAGTGACCCTTGCCATGCCATCCCTATTTGTTTGTGACTAGATGACCCTATTGTCCGCATATAGTCTTTTTATTTTTCCCATAAAAAGTATTAAAAATTTATATGTATATATGCGGTGAGGCAAATTCCAGACGACCAATGTTTGTTCTTGCATCGACATTTGGCAATAAGTTAATGGTGGAAAAAAATATTTTTTTATATAGGACAAGTAATCAAGAAGGATTAGAAGCTGCAGTGGAAGCGACTGCTGATTTACTGAACAAAGCTGTGAAGCCAGTGATTGTGGCTGGACCAAAATTAAGGGTTGCGAAGGCACAAAAGGCCTTTCTGGAGTTTGCAGAAGCTAGTGGATATCCAATAGCTGTTATGCCATCGGGAAAGGGACTTGTACCAGAGCATCATCCTCATTTCATTGGTACATATTGGGGTGCTGTCAGTACTAGCTACTGTGGAGAGATAGTGGAGTCGGCCGATGCTTATGTTTTTGTTGGCCCCATCTTCAATGACTATAGCTCCGTTGGATACTCATTATTGATAAAGAAGGAGAAAGCCATAATAGTGCAGTCTAATCGGGTGACCATTGGCAATGGTCTTTCCTTTGGCTGGGTTTTCATGGCTGATTTCTTAACTGCATTGGCTAAAAAAGTGAAAACAAACACCACAGCTGTGGAGAATTACCGACGTATCTATGTCCCTCCCGGCATTCCTCTGAAGCGAGAGCAGGATGAACCTCTAAGAGTTAATGTTCTATTCAAACACATTCAAGTAAGTCTATTCATAAGCTCCTTCTAATTTGATATCAAGTGATTCTGTGGCAGGAATTTGAGCTAGAGTTCTCTTCCTGTTACTTTGGTCTAAACTAGAATTTCAGTCAAAACCTTTGCTTCGTTTTTATACTAAAGAACAAGATAGCGCACACTTGGTGTTACTTATTTATTTGAAAATCGTTATCATTTTCTTGCTTACTAGCGGTTTTTAGGTCCAGTAGTTTTCTTCGTCTATCATGGTGGTAACTGCATGATTACTCAACCAGACTCATGCTAAAATTTGTAAAACTGTCTTCGTAAGTAGCTTCATGGTTTGTATGTATCCGTTAATTGTGTGAATCAGTAGTTTGAAGCATTCCACAAAACGGGGAACATAGCAATTTCAGATGATTCTCGTAACATTGCTAAATATGCAACATTATTTGCATGGTTTCAATCAGATTAAAACATTCAATCTTTCCCTTATAGTCCATTGATTGAATCTGTTGAACAGGACATGCTTAGCGGAGATACTGCTGTAATAGCGGAAACTGGAGACTCGTGGTTCAACTGTCAGAAGCTCCGTCTGCCTGAGAAATGCGGGTGAGAGTCGTTTACTATGACTGCATCGAGCAATGTGCTAATTGCAACCATTATATTGCTGGAACTAACACTATCAATTTGAATTCCTTCTTTCAGGTATGAATTTCAGATGCAGTATGGATCCATTGGTTGGTCAGTTGGTGCTACTCTTGGATATGCACAAGCTGCGACAGACAAGCGTGTAATTGCTTGCATTGGTGATGGCAGTTTTCAGGTAACAGCACAGGATATTTCAACAATGATTCGATGCGGACAAAAGAGCATAATTTTTCTCATTAATAATGGAGGTTATACCATCGAAGTTGAGATTCATGATGGCCCCTAAAATGTGATCAAGAATTGGGACTACACTCGTTTTGTTGAAGCCATCCATAATGGACAAGGCAAATGCTGGGTTGCCAAGGTTAGCATAAAAATTGAATAATCACAAAGTTTGATCTTTATAAATATGTTTAATTTGGTTTCAGCCCTCAAAATTTTTTAAACAAATTATACTTACACTGCTGAAATTTCGTAAATTGCATAAACTTCCTTGCTTTTTAACATTTGGAGCAACCTTCCTTACTGTAAAATAGAACAGGGACTCTGTTTTTCAAGCAATCAAGAGGAGTTAGTGCAAATTGTGCAATGTATAAAAAGTGTCATTGTAATGTTTCTTTTTTCAAAGGAGATTAGTGTCCGGGTAGAAAAAATAACACGGAGAGTTGACACAATCTCACAAAACCTGAGAGTGACAGTGTAATTTATATAATTTCTTTTATTAGTTTTGATCCTTGTAAATTTTAATTTTTTCTATAAACTGGGGTAATTGAAAGGGAATAATGCTTTGTGGAACCACTGATCTTTCTTTAATATACTATGCTAATTATGATCTATAGTTGGAATCATTAAAGGGAAAGAGCACCCTTGTTTTGTACTTTGTAAGAATATAGTCCCCAAATATGACTGTATTCAAAACTTAGATATAATAAAATAAGGAAGTAAGAGTCCGTTTGAAAACGAACATCGTTTCAAGCCTTTAGATTTTGTTAATTACTTCACAAGAAAAAGAGTTACTTCGGAATTTCCATTTATAAATTGTTGGTGTAGGTACGAACAGAGGATGATCTGACAGAAGCAATTAGAATAGCTAGTGGAGAAAAGAAAGAATCACTATGTTTTATTGAAGTTTTTGTACACAAAGATGATACCAGCAAAGAACTGCTGGAATGGGGATCCCGTGTTGCTGCTGCTAACAGCCGTCCTCCAAATCCCCAGTAGAAATTTCGTTTCTAATTATCGCCTTGTTATGATCTGTGTATTTTGTTAAATAAACTTTTGCTAGATCATAATTTTCAGAGAAAAGACTTAACTATGATGATGAAATAAATTTGTTTTCCAGATTTGTATATGGATTCTTCTGCTGTTGTAAATAAACACCAACTATTGTTGCGTTATAATGAGATATTGTGCAATGGAATTGTTCACGAATGAAAAGAGATATAGCCATTGTATGTAAACTCCTAATTATTAATTCCTTATTTAAGCTATCATTGATTTTATTTAAATAAGTTTTTAGCCGATTTTTTCGATATTTTTATTAGATTGTAAGTTTGCTGAACTATTGCAATTGGAAATTAATTTACATTGGTTTACCCATTTTTCTTTTGAATTGGTGATCCGGCTCTGCGTAAGTTTGTTTCTGAAAAATGATAATTTTTATTTTGATTCTTCATTCTTACGTTTTCTTGTATTTAAATAGTTATAAAATAATATTTTACTATTTTCAAATTTTCTTATTTGTACTTTTTCTGAATCGGGAAAAAGAAAAAAATGGTAACATTTTAAAATAGAACAAAGCATTGTGTTAAAGTAGACAAGTTTTGCATATTATTTTACATTTTAGTTAACGGTGAAAAAGAAATAAAAATGACATCTAACCAAAAAAAAGGAACATATATGCCTCCCTCAGGTTGATAGCATTTTTTTTCTTCTAAAAGATCGGCCGAACATGATTTCGCAAATGTTTGAAAATCACAAAATCATACTAGTCAAATATTCTTTCAAGAAGAAAAGACTATTTAATATATAATCTCCCTTAAACTTGAGATGCATTTAAAAATTTTATGCAGGTGTTAATTAATTACGTGACAGAAGATTTAGAAAATACCGATAATTATTTTAACTATGAAAAAGTATAAATAAACTGATGTTTTTATTGGATAGACAGCATATCTATTCCGATGAGGTCAGTTTGCCAAGAACGACGAATTACAGTTGCAAGAACAGTAGCATCGCTTTTGTTTCTCTTTTCTTCTTTTTTTTTTTTTTTT